TTCAGAAGCCCCGGAGCTACGAGACTTTCAATGAAGTCTACCTCATTCAGGTAGGCAGCACTCTACACACTATACCTCACGTAACTAGGATGATTGCTAACGGACGCTGTCCATCAGGAACTCATGGAGACGGACATGCACCGTGTCATCCGCACCCAAGATCTGTCCGACGACCATTGCCAGTACTTCATCTACCAGACCCTCCGTGCCCTCAAGGCTATGCACTCAGCCAACGTCCTACACCGTGATTTGAAGCCTTCCAACCTGCTTCTGAACGCCAATTGTGACCTGAAGGTCTGTGACTTTGGCCTGGCTCGTTCCGCGGCCTCTCAAGAAGACAATTCGGGATTCATGACGGAATACGTGGCAACGCGTTGGTACCGTGCTCCCGAGATCATGTTGACATTCAAGGAGTACACGAAAGCCATTGACGTCTGGTCTGTCGGTTGTATTCTGGCCGAGATGCTGAGCGGAAAGCCCTTGTTCCCTGGCAAGGACTGTAAGTCGAATAAGAACCGTTCGCTATTGAGAGCGTTGATGCTAACAAAAGAATGCGACAGACCACCACCAGCTGACCCTGATTCTCGATGTTCTCGGTACCCCGACGATGGAGGACTACTACGGTATCAAGTCCCGCCGTGCCAGGGAGTACATCCGTTCGCTTCCTTTCAAGAAGAAGGTTCCCTTCCGCACCTTGTTCCCCAAGACATCCGACTTGGCTCTCGACCTCCTCGAAAAGCTCCTTGCTTTCAACCCTGTGAAGCGCATCACGGTTGAGGACGCTCTCAAGCATCCATACCTTGAGCCGTACCACGACCCGGATGACGAGCCCACCGCGCCTCCCATTCCCGAGGAGTTCTTTGACTTCGACAAGCACAAGGACAACCTGAGCAAGGAGCAGCTTAAGCAATTGATTTACCAGGAAATCATGCGGTGAGCAATGGGGCCGGAAAAAACGAAAGAAAGGAACCAGAAGACGTTGCCTGCAGTTGGGGCGCACGCTTTGGTGTGAGGAGAACGACCTGACTCATAAGGATGAAGAAGCCGAGAGACTCGCTGAGCAAAGCGGCTAAACCCGAGGGAAGGAGGAGAAGTGACTATAGATGATCCATGTGGGAAAGGGGAGGAGACTTGAGCCGTAAGGCCTGCAGAGGTTGGGAAATACACAGTAACATATGCGATGCCAGACAGACTCGGCCAGAGTCAGTCGAACGGATGGATAGGCAAATATTTATCTCTTCTAAACTTGGTCATTTCATACTTGCCTGAGCCCTTTAGCCTACCAAAATATTCCGTTCCGATGCTCGTTGCCATTTCTTGATGGTTCTGTGTAGTGGCAAACCAGTGAAAATGCATCCACTGCAAGATGCCAGTGCCTACTGGATGATCAAGACCTCGAGCTAAGCGTTCGGGAGACGGGCCCTGTCCTGGGAGAGGGTGGTCGACCCGTACGTTTGTGGACTGGTCAGCCTCTACCGATGACGACGCCTTCCCATTATTTGACATGGATGCAGCCATTGCCTTGAGCCCCGCCTCCCTTGACCTAGGCGATGAGAAGACAAGATGCAATCACGATATGTGTGTGTATGTGCGTTAGGGGAAGAGGGGATATCAGTGTTACTACTTCAATTTCAGGGTATCATTATTTCAGCGTCTTTGTATCTTTCCAGCCCGGTTTCCCAATCCAGTCCCGCCCACCTTGCCTTTGTCAGAGCCCCGGGCAGGCGACCGCTCTCGTCGTCCCCAGGGTCCAGACAGAGGGTATAGTCTGCGTGGCATACAAGTTGCCAAGAGCTCACGTCATGCGTATGCAGCCTCGTCATTTCCCGGTCTTGCCCCCAACCCCGTTTGTGGAGTGTTGCGTCGTTCTTGCACGTTTCCCTCTCCTTTGGCCTCGGAAACGCTCGCTCATCCCATGTTACCAGAGAACACCAAGTCCCAACACCTAATTCAAAGCGGCATCTGTATTATCTTCTGAGTGCCGCCGCGACCACATGTTGCTTTGAAACCGTAAACACTTCCCTCCCGCTTGTGGAAATTGTGCTGTGGCGTCTAGTGTAGACATTTCCGTACCACGTTCTCCGCTCTCGTTCACAATTGTCCCAACTCGCCCGTCTGCAGGTCGTCGCTCATTGGTTTGCGGTGTTGTCTTCTCTCGTCAAGCCCCAAGCACCCACAACTCGACACCCAGCACGCCAAACTTCTCCCCTTCGTCGCTCAGGGGCTCGTTGCCGAAAGTCTGGCTGCAACCGCTGTGGCCGCGGTCGAGGCTATCGTCTAGCCACAGGCCGTAATGGCCATCGCCGGCGCCGACGCTAAGGAAACCCGTTTCGCAGTTGATGTAGTAGTCATTAATACCCGAGTAAGGAAACGCCTTGAAGCGGATGGATTCGCTCGGGGCCGGGGACGGTGTCGGCCTGTCACTATTGGGAAAAGCAGAGAGGGTCGGGTTGGCCACGGTGGTGATACGCGTGAGGTTCGTTGTGTCGGCAGACGGCGGTGGAGGAAGGGGCGTAAGGATAGAGGCTCGCCAGAGGAAGCATTCCCCGTTGCCGAAGTATTTGGGCGCTGGATGGGGGTACTCGGAGAGGTAGGCGCCGAAAGTCTGGTCATAGGTATTTGGTTAGCTGTTTGACTAGCGAAAACGTGCGGAGTGTGCTGGCGACGCAGCGGCGCGCGATGGGGAAAAGCATAACAGAAGCAAAGGATGCTTGTTCAAACTTACGCCTCCGGCATCGTCTCTAACAACTAGGACGAACCCGACGCGCCGACCCTGATAGTCGGCTGCCTTCTGGTACAGCGTCGCCAGGCTGGCGCCGTCTTGCTCCAGGCTGTAAATCAAATTCCAATCCTCCATGATTCGCAGCCTCTCGGGCAGCATGATGCGGATCTCCTCGGCCACGCCATGGCTCAGTAGCCGGGCACTCGGCGGCGTGCTGTCCTTGAAGCCATGCAGGACGATGGGATCGAGGGGCGGGGGGCGGAAGGGACTCGCGGTGCGTTTGATGTGGGAGGGGACGAAGACGCCGTTGACGCCATCCTTGAAAGCGACCCCGCCAGCGGGCTCGGTGTGCGCATGGGCGAGATGTGATGACTCTTGCGAGTAGCCGTTATAAGGATGTGACTCGGGAATATCTGAGGAGAAGCGGCGGATTAGGCCAGACCACATGGTCGTGATCATGGAATTCGAGAGCGACGGGGTGGTGGAGGAGTGTGTCGGGGTGTGGGTGCCCGAGGAAGATGGTGTTTCCGGAGGGCTCTGATAAGCCATCTTTCAACGTGATGCGTGTCGAGATCGGGGGGGCGGGCGTGGTTTCAAGCGTGGGCGTTGAGGAAGTAGTAGGGCATGTAGGAGAAGAGGTTGGTTGCGGTTGCGGTGGCAGGATGGGAGGCTTATCACTAGAGGAGATGCTACGTCTGGCTTAGGTGGCTCGGGAGAGAAGCGTGTCTAAAAAGGGAGTGCAGGACGGAAACGACCGTGGGTAACTATCTAGGTAGGATGGGGTAAGCACGATGAATGAATAAAAAGCAAGAAGCTTGGTTGGCGGGCAGCCTAACGCGGGATAGTTGACAAGGTAAAAAGGTGGCTAGCCAGCCGGCAAGAGGTTTAAAGTAAGTCAAGGTGAGAGAGGTGGTTGATCAACGGGTTCGGCCAGCGGCGGTGAGTTCGGATCGGTCCCGCAGCAGAGCAGCTGGAAAGCCGGACAGGGCCAAGAGGTGCGTAGGTATGCGTACGTAGTAGTGGGGTTTCTCGGAGAGACGTCTGACATGGGAAGCAGGTTGTAGTACTAGGCCACGCTGGCAGGTTCTGCGGTTTGTGTCTTTACCCCCATGAATGCCGCTATTGCAAACCAGGTGTGCATATATATACATATATCGTTGTTGACGCCAAGTGCGGCATGGTCTCCATGTTCTTCTACAGTAGTGGACTGACACCGACGCACCACCAGAGAGGTGATTGTCCCAAATTTAGTTTTGCTCATGACCATTGACGCTGAATAGACGCCATGGATGAGGGGTAGTACTGTAGCGTACCTAGTGTAGACTCTCGGTATCGACCTGGGTAGGTACTTACCTAGCTAGGTACCTAGGTAGTTTACACCCAAATCATTTGCTTGCTGGTTGATTGTCGCTGCTAGGTCCGTCCTTTTCCTGGACAAACGCTTGTGGCCAATGATGATGTTGCAAAGCGTAGTAGTCCTACGTACTGGCTGCTGCTGGATGTCCTTGTACCGCTACGTGACCGTTTTCGTTGCCTCGACTTGGGGTACCTGCCTATCCATTACCAATTAGAGTCCCGTGATCGTCCCAAATTCATGCTTCTTTCCTGCCGGCTACCCCCTGCCGCCGGGCGTCCAGATGGTTACCTAGTCTCGTCCCCGGTTACGTACAAGTAACAGCCACTCACTCCCATGCCCTTGTGCTATATTACTTCAACATTACCTCAGAAAGATTTAGGCTACGCGCTTTTCTGTTATTTAATTCCCAACTGATGAACGACATGTCGCAAAGCAATTAATTCACCATGCATGTGCGTATGGGAAAAGTTTCATTTTCGTGGACTTGATATAACATAATCATTACCTTGGGACAGGCTTTGTGCTGTTCCCCGCCCTTTGTACCGGCTTCTACGTGGAAGAGTAGAAGTTTAGGGGAGGACAGGTATATGGTACCTCGTGGCTAAGAGCCGACCTTGCTTCGTCACAATAAACCAAAAGGACACAGACAGAATGTATGTGTGTGCACATGCGTGTGCGGTGCACCTCCCCCCTTAAAACACCAAAAACACCATCATGCCCGACCCGGCCCTTGGCCCATTCCTTTTTCTTTCGTTGGTATCCTCGCTTGCTCTCCCTCTCTTCATCAGAAATGCCATTGGTGGCTGAGTTCCAAGGATGCAACCCGCAAAATATCGTCTCCCTCCTCCAGTCGGCCTTTCAACCAACGTTTGTACAAGTAGTAGAAAAATGGGTTGTGGTACAGTATTGTTGGCAGCATGTTCATAGCGCCTTGCCGACGCTGTTCTGGCTTGCTCCGCTGGGCCTCCGACCAGGCATTCTCTGCTCTCCAGAGCGGTATCCTGCAACTGGGCTCTCCGTCTCGTAGCGATAATTAAATCCGTTGGAAGGCCCAACATCTGGGCCTGGGTCACTCCATCCATCCAAGCTCACTCCGCTGCTGTACTTGGAGCTGAAGCTGTCAGCCCGTGTATGGACAGAGCCTGGTACCCGAGGCGCGCCGCTACTGGCTTGGCTGTAGTTGCTGCTTGTCTGCGTCGTACGGCTACCCAATAGCTCGGGCCGCTCCAGATCGAACGGATCAGATCGGAATTTGTTCCGCCTCGTGGCGAAACTCTCCACGCTTTGCCCCGAGTCTCGATACATGGAGTCCAGACGAGGCGCGTATGTCGAGCCACTGGGCGGCCTTGTTGTGCCACCGCCAAATGATGTTCCACGGGACCGGCGCACGTCTACAACGTACGTCGACGGCGGCTTGGCTGCTGCGGCCGGTGCCGAAATGGCGTTGACATCAGAGAAGGGATCGCTGTCCGGGTTGGCCACCGTGAGCGATACTGGCTTTACCGAATCGTGACGCACTGCATTGGCATCGGAGAAGGGATTTGGGTTTGCCGCAGCGTTGTCGAAGTTGAGTCCAAGGCCCCCGAGGAAGTGGTCTGCAGAGCCGACGCTGCCATGGCCACGACTGAGACGCCTTCGCTGAGCTTCCCTCTCGACTTCCCTGTCGTCCATGCCTAGTAGCGTCAAGAAATCGGGCTGCCCACCCGTGGCGGCTTTCCGATCCTTCATGCCGCGTGCCGGAACAAATGCGTCATTGTCCATATTTCCGTTGCCTCGGAGTCGCCAGTTGAAATTCATGTCAGCCGTCAACCGTTCCCACCAGTCCTTGACCCGGTCCTTTGTCGTGACTACATCGCGTGGTCCCGTGTGGTTTGACAACGACGAGCTGTTACGACTGTGCTGAGAAACATTCATAAACTGAGAACGGTCCCTAGTCGGGCTGCTGTCTCGGTTGGGCGAAACCAGTGCTCCAAGCTGACCCAGGAACCGTTGGAAGTTGTATCCGAGCGCCGCCTTCAGCTTGGCCGAACGTGGTGTCGGGCCCAAAGATCCTCTGTCGATGATGTACGATGCCTTCTCAGCAGGTCTGAAGCTAGGCTCTGTTGACAAAGGTGTGAGAAGGGTGCTCCGGCGCCTCTTTAGTAGTCTCTTACGCCAGAGCCAAACAAGGAGGCCGACCAAGCCAAGGAACACTACAGCACCGGCAACGCTTGATGCGATAACAACCGGGGTAGCTACACCGCCAGATTTGGTGTTCCCAGAGGTAGTCCCACTGGACGCAGGAGAATCATTACTAGCTTCGCCTGCAGCTGTGCCAGGATTCAAAGGAGTTGAGGGCGGAATTGCACCGACTCCCGGTCCTGGTCCCGCGCTGCTCGTGGGCGAAGGCGACGGGTTGATATCGCTCAAGGATGCGGACAATGTTTCAGCGGCAGGTGGCGTTGGGACTGCGTTTGCATCAGTCTGGCTTGTTCCTGGAGCAGGTGGTGGTAACACAACAGGGACGGCGGGTACTAAGGAAGACGAAGAGGAGGAGGCAGGAAGGGGTAATTGGGCAAAAGTAGGTGGTGCACTCTGTACGGGAATGATGGGGATGTTGTTGAAAGTAGGAATTGTTGCTGGGGGCTCCGCATCAACGATTGACGGCAAAGAAGTCGTCGGTGCTACTGGAGGAGGGTCAGAGACCACGGGAGCAAGCGGCGTTATTGACGAGGGAGTTGTGACTGGGAGGGGCAGGGCAGGAAGGGGTGGTGAGGAGCTCGTCGTACTCGCTGAAGTGGTAGTCAAAACGGCTGCTGGTGGTGGTTGTGTTGTCGACGACGATGGCGGCGGTGGCGGCGGAGCAGCAGGGGCGGTCGTAACCGGAGGTGGTGCGCTTGTTTGCGGCGGAGGTATCGCTTGTGGCGTCGAGGTCGTCGACTGGGACGTAGTTGTCGAGCGTTGTTGATTGTTCGATTTCGTGTTGTTTCCTGCCCTCGGCCTAGCCGTACACCTTTTGCCGTTGAAGGTTGTTATGAAAGCCCCACCCGGCAGGTTTCCGTTCCGATTCGGACTCGACATTGTTGCAATATGGTGCGATTCCAGTCGCAGAGAACCGAAGAGTGTAAGAATCGAAAAAAGGGGGTCCGAGAAAGGAAATGGAAAGAAAGACAGATACTAGGAGAAGCCTAGCCGGCCATCTAGGTCGGTTTACAAAGGATCATAGGGACCTCTGTTACGAATTGAAGACGGCAAGAAGCCGTTTGGAAGGAAACCCCGGTCGGTGAAAGTCGGCAGTTAACGGCGATATCGTGTAGTCGTCGTCGTCGTCGTCGTCGTCGGCGGCGGCGGCGGCGGCGGCGGGTTTATCTTAATCGTGAACCGGGTAAGTAGGTCTCCAGACCAACCGACCGACCACCAAACTAGTTGGAGGAGAAAGAAGTGAAAAGTTGAAAATGTGAGAAGACCACGGAAAGAATCGAAGGTGGTGGCAAGGAAAAGATGAAGAAGAGGGTCGGAGTAAAGGGAAAGTGTAAGAGACTAGGTAGATGGAGGGTATGGCAGAGTGAGGTATGGGAAAGCAGGGTATGGTATGGTAGGGGGAGGGGGGGGGGGGGGGGGGGCAGAAAAAGGCCTGGTCGGGCCTGGTTTGGAATTGTTTGGCATAGTACTAGGTAGGTACCGAATGGTGTGGTATGAGATATGGTACCGGTCTGATCTGGTACGGCAGGGTTTTGCGGTCTGAGTCTCTTGGACCTGACTGAGGCTTGCGGCATGTATCTCCGATCATGAGGGACAAGGACCACACACACCTCTCTCTTGACCTCTCTCAAACAGATACGAATAGCCAGCATGCGATTGTACATGCAAGCAGGCAGGCACATGGGCGTTACTACCTACCTAGGTATGTATGGTGATGGCATGGGCCATTACTAGGTACATATGTACGTATTGGCAATCATGGGGGTGGACGGTAGGCGCCGAGCGACAGCGTTACTTCGTCTACTTCTCCTTACTTTAATTGAGGAAGAGCGAGCCTCGAGGTGACTAACCACAGACCAGGGCCGAACCATACAGAGAGATAGAGCTAGACCAAATCGTACCGGACCCCGTAGTAAGTACGTAGGACGGGCATGCGGGTTTGGGGGCCGTTGCGTCTGCACAGACTACCTACCTAGCTAGGTAAAAGGGGGTGTGTTCGGCTTTGCGTGTCTGGTGCGGAGTAAATCGTGGACTACCTAGTGCGATCGTAGATACCGTCTCCTTCAAGTCTTTTCTATGACTAACTGGACTCGTAGTGTTGTAGCAGTGCCCGGAAAGATTGGTCAGTGTTTGATGTGCTCACTATTTGTCTCTCATTTTCTTTCGGACTGTCCCCTGTGACAGAATTGGCTAGATGGATATCGGAGGCCGTGTCTGAGGAGGTTACTCTGGACGTCGGGTTAGTGGACGTGTGTGTGCGCACATCGTGAAGTGGAGGCCGTGTTGCAGGGATGGAGATAGAGAGAGAGGGAGAGAGGGGGGGGAGAGAGTTGTGTGTGTGTGTGTGTGTGTGTGTGTGTGTGTGTGTGTGTGTGTGTGTGTGTGTGTGTGTGTGTGTGTGTGTGTGTGTGTGTGTGTGTGTGTGTGTGTGTGTGTGTGTGTGTGTGTGTACTACGTATGTGGGGTCAGGGGAGGCTCAAGTTGGCGTGTTTTCCCTTGACGTTCCTCATCGGCTCTGAACAATGGGAGTGGCACCAAAAACGGCGAGCCCCTGGTCTGTAACACACCTGACGCACAAAAACCCGCTGCCGAGTATGTTCCAGGCCAGGGGTCCCCAGCGCCCCTCCCCATTTCTGGCGACACTTTAAACTAAGGCACCTTAGGTATCTAGGTAGTGTACCTACAGGTAGTTTACCTATGCACGAGATACTCGAGAAACTAGAAAAAATGGAAAATAAAAATAAAAAAGCCTTGTCCATTGGAACCGATTTCAGGAACGGACGATTATGAATGGCTGCATCTCGTTCCTCCCGCCAGATCTGCGACAGTTTAGCCCCGAAAGGTGCGTTGAGGAGGCCCCTTCTCCCCCACCCTACGCCTGTCCGTCTTTTGCCATATGCAGTGCAATACACTAGGTACACTTGGGTGTTCCCATCTTCCCGTCTGTTCCAAGCAAAGGCACCTCGATAGAAAGGTTGTGTACACAAATTTGGAGTTCACGGCACCTGTCGGATCCCGGGTTGTTTGGCGTCTTCTACCCCTGCATGAGACCCGCTCTCTGGCCCCGAATCGCCCACAAGACAGAAACACTGCAAAGGCCAGGGACCTGACGTACGCCATACTAGTATACGTAGTATACGTAGTATACAAGTTACACCTGTCTGTCCGCCATACCTTCGCTTCCGCAAGAGTTCATTGTACCCAGGTAGGCCAATGTATAAACTATAATGTCTGTATCTCCTTCGTCTGTTCGCCTCCACCTGGAACATCGTCTTCCTTTTTTGAGTTGAGTTTTAGGTCGAAGGAGACGCTTCTACGTTGCATCGTTCCACTCCCTTCACACCCTTCTCCTCCGCCATTTGCCATCGTCGTCGTCACCCATCGTGGTCATCCCGTTGCCGTGCCCAACCCGGCAGCGGTAGTGTGCATGTGTCTTGCCACCGGCCAGCCGCGTGCATCGTCCGTCTACCACCATGTACACCATCTCGAGTTTACATCTCCGGCCGACTGCAAACCATGTGACCCTCAATCCCCAGCAAGACATTCTCTTGTCCTTCTCAACTTCCCCTCTCTCGTCCTCGCCCGCTCCCTTTGGACCTTCACCTCTTCGGTCCACCTCGTCAGCGTCAAGGTCATCTGTAAATAGCATCCAATCTAAACTAGACATACGCCCTGTCCGCTTTCATCTCTCAAACAAGATGCGGGCCGCCCACCGCGGTAGCCTGTCCCTCTTATCGCTCGTAAATCTGGAGAAGCCCTGCCACGACCACTGACCAGAAAGCACCTCGCTCCTCTTCCGGTCACATGAGACAACACCGTACGGACAGACCGCTGTGCTGCGCGCAAACAGGCCTGCACGAAACAAGAAACAGTATCCATGAAGCGGGGCCGATGAGCCGAGTCCTTGTCCACACGATCCAGTCGACCGAATTGCAGACACGTCGCCCATTCATTCATCTGCCAAAATCGTTCTCATGGCCACCTGGTCGGTGGTGCACTTGGCGGAAAGCCTTCTCGATGGCACTTCACCCTCGTCTCCTCTTCGGCCAAGCCCCATCGTGTGTTGCTTCACCTGATGTTTTGAGGACGAAGGGTCACAACCAACCAAAGGTCGCAAGGAACTAGGTATCTGCTTGGAATCTGCACGTTTCCATCGTCAGAAGCTCGGCTGCAACAACTCTCTTCCCCCTCCCCCATCCCTAGTCAAGTTCGCCGCAGCATGGTTTGCTTGCCAAGTCACAAGCGATTTGGACGGCTTCTGATAGTGTGAGAATTAAGACGGTCGCGGCAGGCAAAGGTGCGCGACGGATATGTAGTGAGACGAGGGGCTTCCAATATAGCGCATAACATGTCGTTGTAAGAGTCCAAGCATCACATACCTTCCGTCACAGGCAGGACCCTGGCCTCGCCTCGTGGCATAACCACCTAAAGTAGGTGCTTGGGACGGCAGCCCGCAGGCTCTACCTAGCCTGTACACGGAAGCGAAGTGCATCCCGCTACCCGTTTGGGAGAAGAACCACGCGTTGTTGGTCATGGCCCTCTTCTCTCTCGCCATCCCCCACCGAGACATCAAACGCTCAGGGGCTGCTGGTTGGTCGATCGACTGACGGGCCTCCTGCACCCTGGAAGCACGCGAAGGCGTCTTGACACGCTGGGCCCTCGGCCGCCTGCCCGTTTATCCGCGCCGGTGCCGGGAATCAAGAATATCTAGAATCTCGACTGGGTACCGTCTTGTAGGCACGTCTCGGATATCGGCTTAACATGCTCGCTGCACAGCCCATTCGTCGAACTCTTCCTTACCGCCACACTCGCCGCCCAACCGGGGCTTGGCTTGCAACCATCATAGGAAAACGAGAACAAACAAAAAGAATGACAAAACGTGAGGGTCTCGGCCCGTCCAATTTGGTGTCCAACCCCCTTCTGGCAGGTAGATGCACACGATGAAGGGATTTTCCGTTCCGGGTGGCCGGCTCGCAGACCAGCCGAGTCGCTCCCAAGGCAGTGCTGATGCAATGATGGGCGTTGTCCTGTTTACGTGCATTTTCTCGCGTGCAGGGTTCACAGATCATCAAACAAAGGCGAACAACCATAAAGGCAGAGTGAAACTCAATGGCCAAACATTACAGGGTCATGGGGGAATAAGTCGCCTAACATCTTGCAGGTTGGCAGTCGAGGCCGTATCGAGCGAGACAGCAATACAAATACAAAAAGGCAATGGTAGGCGGTGCCAAGTATGCTGTCAAATTCGATGCGTCGTGATCGCCAGAAAGCGATTGGCTCTCGTGGTGATGAGATTAGTTAGATCCATTCTAGACAAAATTGTCATAGATGTCGGACGGTTTGGCGGGCTGCCCAAGTGCCCAATCACTAAACATTGCTAGAGGGAAAGAGATGAACGTGCGTCGAGAACCAGCCGTGCCTTGGATGGATTGGGTGTACCTAGCTTCCCTCTTCTCATGATTATCTTCCCCCGCCCCACCCCTGGGCTTGAAGACTGCCGAAACAGAGTTACGCGTACGTGACCGGTGCGCTCTCACGTCTGTGTGTTGGGTGTACTTGTGCTCGGAGTCTACCTGGGTGGTGTCATGAAGAAGGAGTAAGGCAATACATGCAAGCTCAGGGTAAGGCTGGCACTACGTAAGGGCGCCTGGGCCGACAAAGGCAAGGCAGGCGACCTGGCACAACGAGAATAAACTCGGAGGCAAAAAATGAGGGACAGCACGGTGTTTCTATATGTTCGTAATAAGTCATCTACTTTGGACGTCCGCCGGGAATGGGAGGGCGACTCGAAGAGCAAGCAAAATAGGACATGGCTATGAAGGCTACTACTCAATGCTATTACCGTCCCGCAGATTGTTTGGTTTTAGCAGAGCTTGACATCAGAGTTCGATCGACATGCTGCACCACAGAAAAGACGTCTGCACGTCAAGCCCCCCCTGCGGGAAGCTTCTACACCACCACTACGGCCACGCCATCAATCGGAGGCGTAGATAAGCTAGTAGGCAGGCAGGCAGGCAGACAAGCATCATGGTTCAAGGGCAACGAGCCGTTGAAGAGCAACGCATCCTCGCCATGTTGGTTGCCTCAGGTTGTCACGCAGGCGGGTAGGTATGCACTCCGCTCTGTAGCTAACACGAGAAGCAACTGGACCCCCCTCTTCCGAAACACCGGAGCGGCACCGGCCCGTTGGGTCGGAGCACGGTAGGCGAGGAGGGCAGGCGATTTGAGTTTCCTGCCCACCTCATCTGCAAATAGATTTCGCGCTCGGGGCCCAAGTTTGATCGGAGCGGCAGAACGGTGACACGTACAGGGCGGCATAGCATGCGAAAGGGATTCAGCTTACGATGGTAGACAGACGTCAATGACAGATTTCAGGCGGGCCGCATAATACCTATGGCTGCCCCGTGGGATGCTGACTCGCTCGGCCGACGGCCCTCCTCTCCGGGCCATGCCAGGTTCGCCATGCGACGGAGCGGTCGGCATCAGTGCCCGGAATGTCGAATACCGGCCCCGTCGGTACGCCATACAATGGAGACGCCGCCGCCATGTTTATCCGACCCGTGGATGATTCAGCAGGGGTGGGTACCTAGGCCCCTTAGTAAGACAACGTGGGTACGTCGAAGGAAAGCCCCTCACGGAAACATCGACTGCTCTCTGCAGCCGTTACAAGAAGTAGTCGGGGGCCAGCCGGACAAGAGCCCAGCCCACCACCCACCGCATGCAGGGGGTCAGACTGTTAGAGCTTGTGGTACGGATACTGGCGGCTGGAAGTCAGAGACTAGGACACAGCTTGCTTAACCCCCCACCCTTTTGAGCGAAGAGAGCCCCTAAAAGAAGCATGGCAGGTAGTGGAGAAGCAAATCACACAGTCTTGCTTCCATCTTGTTGCAGGGGCCAAGGCGAGACAAGACAAACAAGCCAAACCAACAGACAAACTGCAAAACTGGCCGTTGAATGTCTCCGACGGGGGAAAGCGCCGACGGAGTTGCAGCAACGCTGCATCGCACATGTGGGCCGCCGGCCTTTCGGTCCAACAGGACAAAGGTCCAACTAGCTGTGATCAGCACCACACACAAACAATCCTGGGAACACCTTCAACACGCCCAAAGGCACCCAAGCAACCAGCCACCCGTCAACCAGTCGATTGCGGACAGAAACGGCCGCCAAGTTCTCGCTTCTGCGGCTTCTGTTGTGAGCTCCTCATCTCGCCCACCTCGCCTTCCCTTTCGCAGCACATGTGTGTGATGTGATGGTGTAGATAGATAGTACGCAGCGCCGTATGGACAATCCGAGGCCATTTTCAGGGGTGCTATGTAACTGCTCGCTCCATTGCCTTAGGACTGACAAGGCAGGTAGGTCACTGCAGCGCTGTCCCCGAGCCGGCTTCATTCGGGTTGTATGCTTGCAAGTTGCGTTGCTTGCTTCCGACATGCCATCTCTCTCTCTCTCTCTCTCCATCATTCATCCCCAGTCGATGGGGGTCGGATTGGATTCCTGTTACCCCTTTACTCGTCTACATTCTTTTCGGGTCTTTTCGTTTTTTTCCCCCCCTCCATTCTTCTTTTTGCTTTGCCCTCTTTTCTCCTTGATTCCTCCAACCCGAAAAGGAGAGGGCGAGGCCAGTCGCGACGTACCAAGTCAGATCGACCCGAGTAATAACCATGTCCCTCAACTGAGCCGAAGTTGGGATACGGATTTCTTCTCTCCATCCATATGTCACCAGCAGAATTAACCAGGCCTCGACCCCGCTCGCCTTTCGCGCGCTCTCCCTCTCTCCCCACCACCGCCATTCCCGCCGCCGACAGTACCACAATTTGTCCCTCTACTCATTAATCTCACGGCTCGTCGACACACAATATCATTGTTGTGCCCATAACACAACCAGAAAACCTGTCTGGCACCTTCACGACACCATGTTTGGCACATACCCCGCCTTGGGTGAGTTGACAATTTCATCGCTTCCATTTGGTCCAATCAATGCCAGCGGCTCTCCTCCATCTGTGCGACGCGGTAGACGGCCCTGCCTCGCCTTCTTCCTTTTTCCGAGATGCCTGTGCCCCCTTCCCAGTCTTTCCTTGCTTCACGGCCCTTTCCTCGGCATCTCTCCTCTGTTCCTCTAACCGCCCAATCCGTCGTGCAACGTCTTCAATGCTTCGTTGGTGCTCAATCTCAAGCACGCAAGCATGCCATGCCTCGCGATCCTGCAACGGGAACGCCTCCCTCCCGTGCCAGCCTGCTTGATCTATTCCGGTTCTTTGGCGCCTCCTGCTTGGCGGTCCGCCCGCGCGGTCGCATAGACCCGGCCCCATCCATCCGCCTCCGCCGCCCGAGGTCATCACCTATATCATTGACCCAGCCTTCAGCCAATCAAACCCTCGGCGTCGTGTCTTACCCTCCTACACGTCGCTCCTGTCTTGTACCGTCGAAGCCGCTGTCACACCCATACACCTATTTTGAGAGATGGAAGAATATGTCATCCTAACAGTAGTCCCTTAGCAAATCTGCCAACAGGTGTCAAGGTCGATCCGAAGGATGTGCCCCCTCCAACGCCCGTCACCCTTCCTCAGAGCCGACCCCAGCTGCATGCCCCCCTGGCGCCTGCTAGCCAAGCGAAGCCATTGACTTCGGTCTTGCAAAACGTATATCGCCCCGGAGACGTCACATCCGCCATCTTCGACGCGTTGGGCGTACACCTCATCCCGGACGTCCCTCCCGCAGACCTGATACCGGACTCGGCTTGCTTGCCCGACTTTGAGGGATGGGACCAGCTCTCCCCAGATGAAGCACGTGAGAAGAATGCCGAGACGCGCAACTTTTTGAACAACGGCGTCCAGTCTCCTGGTTGTCAGACCTACCTCGATCGTAAGCGTGAGCTATCTCATTCCAATGAGGATGCCTTCCGAACGGTAAGACGCATCCCAGCCCCCAAGGGTCAACAGCAGGCACGCCTTGGAAACTCGTACGAGTTTTTCAGATGCCTCGAGGCCTTCACTCCTTACTGGGACGATACTTCCAAACCCGCAAAGCCCCCCGGAGAGACGGATGGAAACAAGACCGTCGTCGATACGGACAAGTCTGAGCGGGACAACCCGTCGATCCCGGCCTACCAACGTGTCATCCGCAGCTCGGCCGGTTCATCGATGCCCGGCGAGTGTCGCCAGAGCCTTTTGACAGCCTTTCTGAAGCTCGTGGCATATGACTTTGGTTGCAACGTTTCCGCTCCCCGAACCGAGCCCCGTCTGCACATTACGGCCGCACCCTCGCCTTCTCAGCCCTCCAAGCATCAGGTTGAACCTCAGGCCTCGAGAAGCTCCTACTTTGCTTCTGGATGTATCTTCATCTTCCGCACCCCGAGGACGCGCGAAGCTGCTCGGCAAGGTGTGGTGGAAGGACCTCTAGCCGCCGTCTCTGCCCGCGCAACCACCTCATTTGAAAGCAAAAACGACCAGGACATCGATCTGGCACGTGAGCTGGTAGCTGCCCTCGTCACGGCACAGCATCGTGCGAGAGAGGGCAAGACAGAGAAGCGGTTTGGTGATGGCGCTTGGTGGACTACCAAGCCTCGTTGGGGAGGAGGTCCTGGAGGTCCCATCGGTCGCGAGGTTGAGAGGGATGCCATCCAGGGCGACAAGGACAACGTCAATGCAGGGACGGGTCAGCCCGCCAGCAAGCGACCGCGCAAGAATATGTCCATCTACGACAACTACCGTATGGTCCGCCCGCCCTCGGCCAGCTGGGACCCTAAGACTCGCTACGAGGCCATTGGCAAGGTTAAAGGGGCTGGCTACGACGACATTTATGTTATCAGCTCCCTTTTCCACCACGTCAGTATCCTGCGCGTGCGTGTGCCGGAACGCCTTCTAGAAATACTTGAAGGTGCGGACGAGGATGGCGTCCACCGCAGTTGGGGCCAGTTGGAAGCGCGTCGCAGTCCCTGGTACGACTTTTTCGTCTTGGAGCAGCGTCTCGACGCTATGAGGTTGGTTTGGTCGTTGATGGCCTGGCTCATGAGAAAGGAAGAGACAACGGCCGAGAAGACAGAAGAGGATGTCAAGATGACCGGTGCATAAAGCATTGTTGACTAGCGAGCATCCTTTAAAGCCGATCATTTCCTTTCTGGGTAAGATGGTTTGACTACGTGGCTACTTTACCAAGATAATTTTCAATAAACCAAGTGCTTCCCCAGGTCATGGCGATTATTCGTCGTGTTGTTCTATTGCAGTTTGGCCCCACGCTTTGAAAAGACCCGACGATCCCATAGTATATCACGGCATGAGCCGAGTTTGCATGGCCACATGTTAGGCGCCGATTGTCTCTCCCCTCTGCCAGCTTTCTCTAGGAACAAGGACCCGTTACCCTCGATGACGGAGTTATGCAGCTTTCTGACTCTAGGACTGCGTGTAGAATTTGCGAGCTCGGCCTAGGATATTATTTCTCTGGCGATAATTCGATGGAAATGGATGACTGACTAACCCTTATCTTTGGGTGGCAAAACACGACAGAAGACTCCTCGTTGGTTCGAGCTTGGCGTGCAACTTTTGTGTAAGTGGCTTTGGAACCGCCGTATCGAACCTCCCAACCAGGCTTGGCACGACAGAGAGGTTTTCCGTACATGGCCGAGGGGAAGCGAACCGGTCTCGCGGCTTTCCTCCCCGACGTATGCTCAGCCAGCCAGGTCAAACGAGCAGAGCAGGGAAGGGCCCCCATCCTCGCGGTCCGCCAGCTAGACGGTTCCGGGTCTGAGCTGCCACGATTATCCGTCGACTCCCCGATGTTCGAGCACCAACGAAGACGTTGACGACCAGGTGGCGGGGTTCGACTGGTCGAAGGTGCCCAATCCTAGACCGCTCCTGGAGGAGCTTGCGCGATCTTCTTCGCTCTTGTCGCACGCTTTGGCATTCTCAACGACGCCAGACTGCTGCAATTGATTACAGCCTGCCAGCAAACTCTCAGCGTGGTTAAGTCACGGATGGTTCACGACCCTGGATGGGGGGGGAGTGGGGGGCTTGGGCTCATGGAATCGCGTTGGGGTGTTCAAAATCAAATAAACGACGCAATAGCCTCGAAACGATTCTATTCTTACAGAACCACTGCCCCGGTGCAAAAGGCAAAGGCTCCGGATTTCTAGGGAGTGGGTGCCAAGCCGATGGTGTCGGAAGCGACTGCATTGCAACCCGGGATAGTGTCTGCGACGGGCTTCGGAAGCTACTGCTAATATGAAGCATCGGTACTGGGGAGTCTCGTAGGGGGAATCATGGTCCGAGACGTGGCTTCGGGGTATTTTGGAAAGCGCATAATCTGGTCCGAGTAGATCTAGATTCGGCCGGAACGCGGGAGGATACCAGAATTCCAAGCAAACAGATGGGGGCCAGAGTCCATGTGGCTTGTCAACGCCGGGATGGCTTCCTGCAGGCACGCACGCTACATCTCGGAGACGGCTAGACAGCATATGCCATGTCTAATATCGAAGGAAGGGGTGTCTCAAGGCTACGAGGGTGCCGGTACAACTCAAGGCTCTAAGGTGGTGCACGCGGTTAGGAGTGAATCATCCGGTGTTGGTTGGTCGAGCAGCCCCAGGGAATTCGTACCGTGCCGCCATATGCCAGAGGCTTGGTACCAGAGGCTTGATAAATGCTGTGTGGCCTCGCCGACGTCGAGTCTTGCCTCGCGTCAACGCCCTCTCGTAACATAGTGGCCTGGTGTCCAATCGATCGGACAAGAGTCATGTACGGTAACAGCCGCCAGTACGCTCAGAGACACTGCACCGCGCTTGCTGTCGCGTTGCGAGTGCAAAGATGACGTCTTCTACAATGTAGGCATGACTCCTCTAGATTTATCGAGGTCTCCCAATCGCCATTGGGGTTTGTAGCCACGTTCTCAGGTCGTTGAGACATTGCATTTGAGACGTCTTTAGGGAATGGAGGCATCATGCGTGTGCAACTCAGTGTGATGAGTTGTCAAGAGGCCCACAGCTCACATATCTCGTGCGAGTGACGGTGTCTAAGACAGGAGACAAGCGGTTGGGATTCGAGGTCTGGATACCACCTGTGCAGATGCCCGCGGTGTTGCTTCTGGACCCCAAGTTTCTCGCACCGAGCAAGGGGTTCAAGGGCCAAGACGGAGGAACGACTGTCTGTCATTCGCCGCGATCCGGTGCTGCCCCTGTCGGTCAGGTGCGCCACAGTGATCGGCATTCCCGTCACCTTACCTCTTTTGGATCGGGGAATAATAGGTTGCGTACTTTGGCTCCTGTCAACCACAGATGTCGTACCTATCTTTATTTCTTGTGGCGTTAGAGGCGACGGGCCGAGTGCAAGAATCGGCCAACTAGGGGAACAGCGTCCGTCGCTATCGACACCACGCTCCGCTAGATCACGCACTGGGAAACCCCATGAGACAGCAATGGGCCTGAATGTGAATTTGTGAGCAGACATTTGGACCAGAAGCCGATAACAACGTGTCTTTTTTCTTCTTTCTTTTTTCTTTTTCAAACAGAACCTCTCAACCACCACTGACCACTGAGCTGTCTAGGCGGTATGTCGTTTCTCACTGACGGCCGTAGATCGGTAATCGCTCGTGACAATCCCTCAGCTGGACCAGGGGTGAAAGCTCAGCGGGACTGGGTGGGGATTCGAGCAGAAGCAAGCAGGATCAAGGAACCCAGGCTAATTGAGGGTCGTCGTCGTCAGGCCAAGGTACCGGCCGGTACAGTAGGCAATCCAGGTATGTAGACGTAAGGAATGTAGGGCTAAGAGGGGAGTCGATTTGAGGCCGGCATGCATGCAAGCAACCTCGAGGGAGGGCAAGGCGGTGTTTCACGCGCGACTTGGAGGTGTGCTGGATACAATTCCGTTTTGGTGACTTCTGCCGAGACCGACTGGCCGGTCCAGGTCGGGGTTGATTAAGTTGGAAACGTGGAGTTGGGTTTTGGCAAAAGTTACGCAAACGTGGGGGGGGGGGGGGGGGGGGGGTGTGGCGCTGCGGCTGATGGCGGTGCGGATCGCAAAAGGAATGCAACGGCTCTGCATCTCAGTAATTGACATTGCCGCCGACGTCGTAGACGTGGGGTGCGCGAGAGACTATCCAGATAGGTAGCGTACCTACCTACAGTATATGGCCTAGGTATCCAGATTGACATAGAGGAAATTCATCGGCCCAAGGCCAGAAAAATGACGACGATGCCAGAGTACATAGAGTCTGACCGTCGCACATGGCAGGGCAGAAACAATGGAACCGAACCCTGGTTGCCCAGTACGGTGGGGAGTTGTGCTAGGTACCTAGGTAGGTGGGTAGTTTGGTGTACATACACATACCACAGCCAGGTCACGGGTGACCGGGGCAGGACACATACCTGCACGCAGCTGCACACACCCACATACATCCGCGACCGGCGATACATAATAGTGTGTGTAGGTGCCCTCTCAGGGACGCGGCATTGCATAGTGGCTTCGCAGGAGTTTATTGATGATGACCGTCCTGGTGAGGCTTAGCGTCATTGTCTCTGCGTCCATCTCTCGGCTCTCACCGGACCTAAAGATTGTCAGTCCGTGCACATGGCTGATGCCCACTTTCTTGACCTTGCCGTTATATCTGCTTAGCTAAGACCACTGACCTGTCTCTGGAGGTACATGTAGGTTGGTAGGTAGATATTGGTGTACCTTAAAAAAACACACGACCTGGGGTTTGATAAACAAGTACTGGGATCCACCTCCGCTAGCAAAAGGCTCTTGGGCATCGAGGCCGTGTCTGCCGTCTCCTGCCGTCCTTTCCGTCCAAGCCCAATCAATAGTCATCGTGCGTCCCTCTGCCACATGCCATCGCCTCCCTCGGCGACTGCAACGGGCCCGACGTTACGTAGTCTAGGTTGTTAGCTACTCCACCCTTGTGTACCTTGCCTTGTTTCTCGCACGTCAGCAACCCCCGCTAAACAATTGAACCAACCCCGACAACCTTACCTTGCTTGAGGTAGGTGGGTAGGTACCTACTGAGTAGGTAGGTAGGTAGGTAACCTAAACTCGAACGAACCCCTCCACCGCCGCAACGCCGAGGCGCATCTCGTGGTTCCTTGTCCACCACCACCACCTCTTCCTCCTCCTCCTCCTTCTCATCTTCCTCCTCCTCATTCCGCCAGCACATTTTACCTTTGCATTCCTCACTCCTCGCTTCCTGCACCCGAACACTCCGCTTACTACCCGTCAGTCTTTTCGCTCGCCTCAGCTCCAACAACTCAAGGGCGTAGTGTATCGTTGCCGTTTCTACTACGGCCACCCCGACTCACACCTTCTTTCTGTTGCGCTAGCTACTCAATTGACTGCTTCGTACCGTTGACCCTCTTTCCTTCTTTCTCTTCATCCGCCCAAAACGACTTCTACTCCAAATCCGTCCGAGAGCCCGGTTCTCAATCACCAGGTGTCAGCTAGCAGGGTTCCTAACCACCCTTGCTGCATGATCCGTTTGCTGGTCTAACATAGTTATTCAGCTTGTCCTGGTTCTGATCCTCGTGCCGGCAAACTTGTCCACGCCGCTTAAGCTGTTTGCGCCCTCCCGGAAGGCTGACTTTGTCCTTACGCTTAACGAACTAGCCTCGAGACCCAAGCACGCGCCTTCTCAACCCCCACTTGTACCTCAACTCTACACCCCTCGCTTCTCCTCGCCGTCTCTCGATCTCGCGACAACCAGACGCCCGTCGTCTTCGCCCATATATAAATAAGTCCAGCCCCCGAACGCTCCTGCTATTGGCATCCTTGTCTTTTCACACCATTCCATCGAGCTACAACCCTCCCACGACCACGCTGTGTTGGCCTTTGGTCGCCCAATACCCCCAGACCGAGTCTGTTTACAGCCTTATCGTCGCGACAAGATGTCAGGATACCCAGGTCAATATGGAGGATATCAAGGCGGCCCACCTCAGCAGCAATACGCGCTTCTGGCAGCTACTACCCGTGCGATCGCCAACCCCCCCCCCCCCCCCCCCCCCCGCCCTGCGCGCTCAGATGCTAACATTGAGGGCTTGAAGTCCTCCGCAGCAAGGGTACAACGGATATCCTCCCGCAGGGTCAGGATACGGCTACCAACAACCGTCGCCCCAGCCCTACGGTTATAACCAGGTACGGCTGGTCACTACCAACGTCGGACTATTTTCAGCTAAGCCCGTCTTTAGTCCCCCCAACCGCAATATGGCGGCTACCAGCAGCCTCCACAGCCCAACTACAACAATCGCCCAGGTGAGTTTGGGAACCCGGCCCTCAAGCTGAGGAATCGGAAGTTATGGATTGCTGACAAGTCCTTCATCAGGTGCGCCGACGGCGAATTCGAACTCATACATGCACGCAAATCACCACGCTCCTCCGCCGCCACCATCTGCGCCGCAGCAGTTCGGGCACGGCGCGCCCAACGGATATGCCTTTCAGTATTCCAACTGCACGGGCCGGAGAAAAGCGCTGCTGATTGGAATCAACTATTTTGGCCAGCGCGGTCAACTGCGCGGATGCATCAACGACGTCAAGAACATGTCGGCATATCTCGTCGAGCGTTTTGGGTATAAGCGGGAAGACATGGTCATTCTTACTGATGACCAGCAAAACCCCATGAGCCAGCCTACGAAACAGAATCTTTTGAGAGCTATGCACTGGCTGGTGAAAGATGCCAGGCCCAATGACTCTCTCTTCTTTCACTACTCAGGTAAGCTGTATTGGAGCGGCGACGTCCACTCAGGAGCTGACCACCGCAGGACATGGTGGGCAAACAAAAGACCTCGACGGCGATGAGCCTGATGGGTATGACGAAGTCATATATCCTGTGGACTTCCGCCAAACAGGCCATATAACCGACGACGAAATGCATAGAATTATGGTGAAACCTTTACAGGCTGGTGTGCGACTCACCGCCATTTTCGACTCCTGCCATTCGGGTACTGCTCTCGACCTGCCTTACATTTACTCAACCCAGGGTATTCTCAAAGAACCGAATCTTGCCAAGGAAGCCGGCCAAGGGCTTCTCGGCGTTATTTCGTCATACAGCCAAGGCGATCTTGGCGGTGTTGCAAACAACATTATGGGCTTTTTCAAGAAGGCCACCACTGGCGAGGATGCATACAACCGCACAATAGCTACCAAAACATCACCCGCCGACGTTATCATGCTGTCTGGAAGCAAAGATGACCAAACTTCGTATGCAAAGCCCTTCTTTCCTTATGACACACATTTTTCTTCAAGCATGCCATGAGGGAAGTCCTCTACCGTATCGAGCTAGGACTTGTTTGTTGCTTCTCCTGGTGAGATGGCTGGTTTCTACAAGCGGAAGCAAAAAGGCATCGAGTCGGGGTTCCCTTATGTTCCAAACTGGATTTTTGGGGCACATACATCTTGTAATTCGGCGTCCGCCAAAGGCAGGCCAGTGATCTCTTTTCCCACGCTCTAGAACAAAGTACGACCTACCAACGGTCGCGCTTTGTTTCTAGAGCGACGAGTCACGTTAGAACTGTTCAGACCACGAGTGTGGAGAGGCCGGGCGGGTGCTGCACCCTTGCCATCTACCGTTCTTATGAAATTGCAGAGTCGGGCTCAGCATTCGCTAACACCAACTACCAGGGCCGATGCAACAATCGCTGCTCAAGCCACCGGCGCAATGTCGTGGGCCTTCATCACCGCTTTGAAGAAGAATCCCCAACAGAGCTACGTGCAGCTTCTCAACAGCATCCGAGACGAACTCGCGACGCGTTACACGCAGAAGCCTCAGCTGTCATGCAGTCACCCTTTGGGTATGTCGCCCATCCTAGGAATGCCGCATGCATCGTTCCATGTCGCTAACTTTGCAGACACGAACCTTCGGTTTATCTTGTAATCATACCCTGTGTGTAAACGGCCGGTCCGCCCTGTACATGTCATAATCTCCTACATTTCGGCCTCGCAATATTAGCATCAGGGCTCGGTAGAGTTAGGTAAGGTACGGATATCATTACTGGAAAGCGAACGGTTGGACTGGCGGGAGAAAAAAATGCCAATGCTGGTTTGAGGGTTCCCCTCCTCAGGTGGGAGGCTCCTATTTTAGGTTACGGAGTCTATCTTGTCTGCCTTGCTTGCCATTCCGATTCTTCTTTTTCTCTTCTTTGTTGCTCCATTTGTTCCAACTAGAATGACATGTTTTGTTGTCTTGCCTTGAACGAGTCCCCCCCCCCCCTCAAAAAAAAAAAAAAAAAAGGAATTTCCGAGGGATATTTGGTGATGCTGCACCTGGACGGTCACAGAAATGGCGTGTCCAATATTGCCTGAGTATGAGAGAGCAGTATACGCACCTCCTTCCCAAATACCTAGCTTTACGGCATCTCAGTCCTGGCAGCGATTGACGTGGAATGGCAAACAATCACTTCTGTATGCTCATGCTCATGTCCTATGCAATCTATTCATCATGCCGTGCTTTGTGATATAAACCCACTCAACCAAACTCCATGATGAACCAGACTCCTGTTTCTCCCCGTGACCTTTGCCCTATTCAAGCAATCAATCGACCAATCACATCAGGAAAGCTACAGCGTCCGCCTTTCTCTCTCGACGCCAGCCAACCCAGCCAGTTGAGGACATGTGTATCAATGTTTGATAGGCTAACAGTCATTCAAAGACGCCGATCCCTCAAATCGCCCCCCCCTGTCTATCCTCATTCACTCCCCCCCGTCCGTCCTCCTACCTATCCTGTCATGATCTAGCCTGTTGAGCCTTCTCCAAAAGGCGAGTGATGAAAACTCCAAGGAATGGGTGGTGGCAACCCCTTCAAACGATGTACCATTTCCGTTTCCGCCCGCTGCCGCTACAACATCAAAGGCTAATGCAGACAAAAACATGCAATACATATAAAAGACTCTTGTTCCGCATCTTTGCTCATGCAGATGCATAGGCGTGTTCGTAGAGAAGGAAGTGCGGGTAGCTGGGTACACGGAGTAGCCGGGCGCCATTTCATGCAGCAGCATCTTCAGCTCCACTGTGCCGCCGCTCAATAAGGAAACCGTTGCGCAGATGGGACCAGACACCTACAGGCGGTCGCTCTTGTAGAGTCGTTCCGGCGATCTCGGTCGGGCCTCTAGGAGAGACCGAGAAGCCTGCTGTCCCATCAGGCAACAACGTCGTCCGCCGGTACCACCTTGAGCTGCTTCCGTCTCTTGGTCTTGCGCATCTCGTCGACGCAGTTCGCTAACCTCTGGCGTGTGGCCTCGTGTTTGGCCCATTCACGCGCCGAGATACGCATCCTGGCGATGAAGCGTGCCATCGTCGCCACCGTCTTGAGTGTCGGCCGGCCAGATGCCGTGGTACCGTGCTTCTTCGCTGGTGCCGAGGACGGGGGCGGCAGGGCTTTGCGGCTGCCGAGGAGTTCGCAGCGGATCTGTTCAAGCTCGCGCAGCTGTGCCTTGTTGCTGTTCCGAGTGTTAGTCTCACGCTGCAGTGGCTTCGGGGGGAGGGGGGAGAAGGGGTATATACGTACCATGCGTTGGCAATGCTGAGCTCTAGCTGCAAGAACTTCTTCGCGTACGCCGCGTCGGCGCGCATACTGACCTCGCGCTTCCACCGCGCCTGCATCCACTCCATTTGCAGCGTCATGCCGCGTAGTTCCTTGGTGTGCTTCGCATCTGCGTTCTCGGCGGCGCGGATGACTGTCTCCAGCGCCTCGTCCGTCTCCCTCATCCTCTGGTCGGCGAAGCGAACTGCTTGTGGGTCCTTCTGCTCGGCCGCGGCGAGCCTCTTGAGGTCCCTGATGTCTTTTTGCAGCTTCTCTGCGGTCAGGCGGTAGGCTGCCCGCTCACTGCGTGCCCTGTCCAGCTTACGACGAAGGGAGGCTTCGGCAGCCATCAATGCGTCGATGGTTTCTTGCTGCTGGATAACGTCGTGTTCGAGCGCGTTTGTCTCGGTTTGTGTTCTACGAAGCATCTCCTGGAGATCTCTTCGTTCAGAAGAAGACATGTTGTCGATGTTGTAACGGCCGTGGGCCACGAGTTGCCGATCTTGCTCTGCTCTTTCGAGCTTATGCTGAAGTCGGCGAAGAGCCTTCTCGTGTAGAGCAGCTGCTTCCTCAGCATCTCGCTGAGTGTCCTCCAGAGCCTGCTCGAGAGCAAGTTTCTGATCTTCCAGATCGTCGAGCTGTGTTTGGAAGTCTCGCTCAAGTTGCGATGCTCTACGTTCAGCGTCGCGAGTCTTGGTCTTGAGCTCGTGCATTGACTGTTGTGCCGAAGATAGTTGATGGCGTAGTTCGGACACTTCAGACTTCCTGGCCGAAGGGCTGGACGATGCAGGAGACATGATCAGTCGGGACATCTCAGCATCGTGAGCTTTCCGCTCCAGCTCCGTGACTTGCTTCTTGAGACCCTTGACAACTTCTTTGTGGGCTGCCTCTCGTTGAAGGTATTCCCGCTCCTTCTGCCGTGCCGTAGAGAGGTCGCGGCGGATGATGGACATCTCGCTGTTGCCTTCACCGGCATTGGCAGGAAGCTGCTGTGTCAGTGCTAGCTGGTCCTCGTAATCCGTAATGCGCCGCTCAAGCTCACGGATGGTGCGACGGGTAGCAACCGATTCGTGGCCTTCTGTAGAAGACACCTCTCGCAGCTTGGCTTGGAGCTGACGGATCTCCTGGTTAAGGCGATCCTCCTCTTCGGCGGCCTTCTCAATCTCGTCCTCCAGTGACTTCTCAACTGACTGCATCTGCTCCATCAAGGCGGCATTCTCATCCTTCAGTCGTCGTACTTCGTTGTCGAGCTTCATCTTGGACGTCCTCAAGTCCAATCGCTCGCGGTCAATGCGCAACGTTTCTTCGCCGTTTTGATGCATACGCTTCATCCCACTCTCGATCTCGTCACGCTCTGCTCTGGCTTCAGCCAATGAGCTGCGCAAAGAATGCATCTCAAGGTTTAGGCTGGCAAGTTGGTCCTGTAGCGACTGTTTCTCCCGGGACACCTTGTTCACCCGCACAGTAGACTCTGAGATCTGCGTCTGAAGTTGGTCCTGGAGCAAGTCTTTTTCCTTGTTGAGCTTGGATACGAGCGATGTCGCCTCGTCAAGCTGTGCTCGAAGCCGGTCGATGGCTTGGTTCGACTTGGCGCTCTCTTGTGAGACCGAAACCGTCCCACGACGCAATTCGTCCAGCTGCTGTCTCAAGGTATCACATTCTCTTTTCGCTGCTTCCACCTCCTCTCGAGAATGCTCAGACTCCTCATCCAGAGTCGTTTGGAGAACCTCCACCTCATCCTCCAACGCTTCAACCTTCTCCGTTTGCGCTTGGTAGTCCAGCTGAGTCTGCCGGAGTTCGTCTTGGACCTGTGAGAGTTCACCCCGGAGCTCGGTGAGCGTAGCCTGACGGGACTCAAGGTTTTGCTGAAGGTCCTCGATTTGCCGGGTGAGCGAAGCCTGCTCGTCCTTGTGGCGCTGGGCCTCACTCTCTAGTGCTTCCTGCAGTCTTGATTCCTTGGTTGACAAATTTCCTTCTGCTTCACGTAGCTTCTCGATGGTCCTTTCCAGTCCGGCCGCCTTCTCCTCCGCCCGTTTGCGTTCTGACTCCAGAGTGTGGCGATCCGTCTCCCATTTTTCACTGTCGTTGTCGTACAAGTTGTCCTTTTCGCGAATTTCGGCCTGGAGGTCCGAGATCTCATCGTTCAGCCTGTCAATCTCATCTCTATATTGACCACGGATATCCCTTTCGATCTCTAATGCGTGGTCCCGTTCTTGGGTAAGACTTTCCTCCAACTCATCGACGGATTTCTGCAGACGTGCCACGTCACGTTGAAGAGAGGCAGACTCGCTTGTCAGTGCTTCGTGGCGGCTCTGCAATAGGTTCTTCTCATCCAGCCTGGACTGCAGCTCATGTTTGAGGTCCTCCACCTGAGCCAACAGCGACTGACGTTCCCGGTCGGAGAATTCCTGCTCTTGACGACCATCTTCAGCGATGCTCTTGAGCTTTTCTTTTTCTCTTGTCACTTCGGAAAGCTGCAATTCGATCCTGGCGAGCCGAGACTGATGTTCCCGATCGGCGGCTTCGCGTTCGCGAAGGCTTTCCTTGGCAGCGGTCTTGAGGTTTTCGTTCTCCTTGATGGTTTCCGAGAGCTGTTTTTCAATGTGGGCGAACTTAGAGTCCGCCTCCTCCAGCTCAGTCTGCAACCGCAGAAGCTTTTCCTCCTTCTGTCGAGAAAGACCTTTGGTGACCATGGACTTGTTCGCTAGTTCATCTTGAAGTTCTTCCAAGTCGCCCTTAGCCTGTTCCTTGTCTGCGATTGCCTGGTTGAGCTTGTCTTTCATGTCGTTGACCTGATCCTCTAGGCGACGGACATTAGTCTCCAGCTCGTCGATGGTATCTTTCGCCTCCTCCAAGTCGTTGTTGGACTGCGCGTTCTGCTCAAGCTCGATCATCCT